GGGGAAAGCGAAGGGCCAAGGCCGTTCGGCGGAATGCGAAAGGTTAAAGCCACGTTGGGATCCGTAACAGTCAGATCCCACCAAATCTTTTCGAAATTCAAAAAACCCCCGCCCAAATAGCCTAACCACACAGTGACACGTGGACACCTACGATCATAGGCATTAGTCGGCGACGCCACCAGCGCCGCGCACCGACTGGGGGGCATGGCACGCCCGCGAGGAAAAGAAAGACACGCATTGCGTCGCAACAAGAAGACAACCCCATGCGCGCATCGACGGGCATCGCGCGCGAGTATCACGCTCAACGAACAAAGATCAACCGCGAGCGCTTATCGCGAGGATAACGCCTGGAAGAGGAAAACATGCGTCGTGCTGCGAAAAGAAAACAACTCCACGAGCGCATCGCGCGCGAGTATCGCGCTCAGCGAACAAAGACCAACAACGAGCGCATTAGCGCGTACCGCGCATGAAGAAAACGACCCCGTACGCACAACAGCGCGCGCCAAGCATTGCGCGTGGCGACCGAATGAAGCCCAACAACGAGCGCGATGGCACATGGCGTCAGGGCAAGGCGACGCCAGTTCATAGTATCGCGCACGTCGGCGCCAACCAATAGCTACAAGCGGACCGGCCCGAGTCCGGAGGAAACCTAAACAGGGGGCGTTCACAAAACACCCCCTGCTGGGGGGCAATTGTTGGGCATAGGACTCGGGCCTAACCACGCCAAGGAACCGGGCGCAACTGGATGAGACCCCAACACGGCAGCGCGAGGACCCCGAGTGTGCCGCCTCATCATGGCTAACCACGTCCAGGCGCGAAGAGATGACAGGCGCTAGGGGAGGACTAGCGTAGGCTGAACCAGAAGATGAGGGAAGCGCACCTCTTCCAAGCGGGTAGTCACATCAGGGCCATGAGTGGATCTCTGACTCATCCTAGGTAGAGGGATGGCCTAAAAGCCTTAGTGTGCTAGTGGTCACATCATTGTATCCCAGTAGTCACATCACTGTATCTCTCCCTATGTCAACCACTCACCCACCACCATGAAGCCTATAAATATGGCATTTACTACGGTGGGTGAAGGGGATCGCATTTTTCACCATTCTCTCTCTACAAGAACTACTTCTCTTTCTAATCTCTTTCTCACTCAACTCTCTGATTCTGGTTCCACTGATCTAGCCCGGCTCTCGCGTTTCTTCTCGACCCAAACTCTCCTTCGAACCTCACTCCTACACTCAGTTAGGTTCAAACACTAGTAATTCCAACAACCAAACTTGCAATTTATTCATATTCAAACTTAAGTGATATGTCAACCCAAATTCTCAAATTTAAGTGACACCCGAATTATTTTAGCCTAGAATAGAAATTAGTTGCTTTACTTTGTTTGCTTTCCAAATTCCAAACTCTATTGTTCACCACCACCACACCATCCTCAATTCTCCTCTCTCAGCTTGTCTCTCCTATCTGTTCCTTTCTCCCCGACTCTTTCCTCCGTCGATCGCTTTCTCGGCTTCCCTCTCCTTTCTCTCTCTCTCTCTCTCTCTCTCTCTCTCTCTCTAGCCACCATGAGTAAGGGACCGGAAATCTTCTCCAATATCGGAAAGAAGGCCAGAGGTAACTCCCGTCCTCTCAATCTCCATTTCTACAGTGATTTCACCGCAGAATTCCATGTTCTCGTTCTTTTCAGGTCTTAATCCATGTTTGTATTTGAAATTACAGATCTCTTGACGGCGGGATACAGCTCCGATCAGAAATTCACCGTCTCCACGTACAGTGGCCCCGCCGGAATTGTATGTTAATCCTCGTCCTTGCTCGTTTTCTTGTCACTCTGGTCTAGATGCTGGCGGCTTGTGAATTGTGATTGTGTAGTTGAATTTCGCTACGCCAGTTCAGGATTAGATTTTCGGATTCATTCATGATCGCTAATGAAAATAGAACTCTCTCAACAGAAGGTGCAATGTATAGTGTTAATCTCGAATTCTATGTATCGATTGCAGCATGCTTGAAAACCGCTTGCTCTGGATTGCACTTGTGCAAAATTTTGTTTGCTGAGCAGGCCTCTAATGGTCTCTATCGTCTTTCATGCGATCTGTGTATGTCTATGGAAAATAAGCAGTCACTTTGTGCACAAATCCCTCTGAATTGGCGTATCCAATTATCCCTGTACATCTAAAGTTCTCTATCATTTCTCCTTAGAAGTTTAGCTTGAAGTTCCCTTACCTCTTACTACCTTTTCATTTCCCTTTTCTGAATACAGTGGCGAGGGTTGCATCGACAATCTTTCAGTATTAGTCTTGTTCAGTTATCATACATTTTGTAGTGTTGCGATTTGGCTATATATGGTGCAGCAGAAATGGAAATGATACGTTGTGTTGTGCTTCCTTCTGGGGATTATTAAGACTACTTGTTCAGAACTCCATTGACGAGTTTTCTTTTTCTGTTTAAGCTCCATTCACAGGTTTGCCGATCGAGATTCTTTGTGTTTTTCTTATTTAATTCTCTTTGACTGTTCGTGATCAACATGATCTCAATGTCTGCCACGAATAGCTTCAATTGGGTTCTGAGATTTAATTTGAGGAACTTGAACACAAAGTTTCTCAGCATAAAATGCTAGAATGTAAAACATGTCGCATTTATCTAGCGTGAATTTTGATTCATTTCAGCTGGGATTTTCCCCCCATTTTTTTTATTTCCCTGGAGTTCCGTTAACGTGCTGGAATCAAATTATCTGTTACCATACCTTGATTTTAACACTGCCTTTGTCGTTCAGTCCTAACCGGATGTTAGCTCTTGTTGTTCAAGCCTAAATGTTATCTCTGTTTTGTTTCTAATCTAATTCGTTCCAATGAACTTGACAAGAAAATTATGCACTCAAATGTTAATCTTGTATTTCCTCGTCCAACATTAGGTCTCTATTTTTATTGTGTTTCTTTCTGTTTCTCAGGCTCTCACTTCAACAGCTGTTAACAAGAGTGGACTGTCCACGAGTGATATTGGTGCCATTTACAAGTACAAGAGCCACATATTTGATGTGAAAATTGATACACTATCTAATGTATGTGCTTTTGTTTATTTAAAGACAGCAAAAGGATGCTCTTTACTTCTTGCTCGTCTAAGCATAACCTGTTCTTTTTCCCCCATTTTCTACAGATTGCAACCAACCTCACGTTCAGTGACGTCCTTCCATCAACAAAGGCAGTTGTTTCATTTAAGTTGCCTGATTATAACTCTGGCAAGGTAGGAGTCGAATTGATTAAGTGGAAATTAATGTCTGCGAAATTGTGAGGAAAGTGGACGTATAACATCAGGAGAACCGAAAAATGAGACCCAAATGCTTTGGTTTGCCTACCATTGTAATTAATCTTTTCCACTGTTCTTGCAGTTGGAGGTTCAATATTTCCATCACCACGCAACCTTTACCTCTACTGTTGCCCTGCACCAACAGTCTCCAGTAGTCGATGCTTCAGTCACTGTTGGTACCCCAGCCATTGCCTTCGGCGCTGAAACGGGATACAATACTACTTCTGGTAGTTTCACCAAGTACACTGCTGGGATTAGCATAACAAAGCCAGATGCCTACGCTTCAGTTATTTTGTAAGCCCTTTAACCATCTGTTGCATATTCAAAAACTATTTTATACCCTTGGTACTCACTGGCTGTGTATCTTTGTCATAGGGGTGACAAGGGTGACACCATCACTGCTTCATATGCTCATTTTCTGGACGAGTCGAAGAGAAGTGCAGCTGTGGGGGAGATCATGAGAAGGTTTTCAACCAATGAGAATACTTTTACGGTTGGTGGCTCACATGCCATTGACCATTTGACACTAATAAAGGGAAAGCTGAACAACCATGGGAAACTTGCAGCTCTTCTGCAGCATGAAGTGATACCAAAGTCACTGATGACCATCTCTGGGGAAATCGACACCAAGGCCTTGGACAAACATCCCAAGCTCGGCATAGCACTTGCTCTCAAGCCTTGATCAATCTCTTCAGTGACGAAAAGTTGTTTCAAAATTCGTTTGCACATTCTTCCAAAAACTTTATTTTGGTTATCATCTCTTTTCCAGTCTCATGGATGGGCACTTGAAGGAAATGTGAATAAGCAGTTCCACAGGTTTTGCTAGGATTAGGAGTTGCTGTGGAGTGTGGATGGACACTATTGATGCACCGGGTCTGTTCGCCGATTGAGACTATTGTCCATGTTCCATCTTTCATAGGTGCTGATCATTTTGGGTTTAATGACACATTTGGTCATTCTGAGTTATTCGTTTGTTTCGCGTTTGTTTGTTTGTTTCATTGGATCAGTGGTTACTCACGTTGTTCCCTTATTTCATTGTTAGTCCCAAATTCGTTAACGGTGTGTTTGGATATGATATTGGATATGATAGAAGAATTTGGATTTGGTATTTGTGATTTGGATTTATAAATGTCAAATTATTTGTTTGGGTCAAGGTTGCCAACCCGCAGGTCGACCCATTTTGACCCTGGTTTGGTGAGAAAAACGGGCAGCACGTACCCGCCGCGTCGACGCTACAAGGTACCGGGTTGGATGTCAAATTGTGTCATTTTTTACTTTGGTTTGCGAAATGCGTCTATTTTCTAGATTTTTCTTTTCGCCTAACTCAATCTTTGGAATCCTAAGTTTAACATTTGAACATTGATGTTATATAAGTGTGTGAATTTTCACTATATGTAGGATCTAAGTACGACATGTTCTTTTGGTGTTATATTATATGTTATAACTCATATGTTAGATGAAATTTGATATAATTTATCAGGATAAGTACAATATAATGACTATTTTCATATTTCCGGGCTAAACCGGGTGACCCATTAACCCTTGACCCACTAGCTCGACCGGGTCCGGGTCAACTCGCGGGTTGACAACCTTGGTTTGGATAATAATTACGTTTAGTATTTGAATTTGTGCTAAATTTATGAAGTGATTTTCTTTTTTTTGGTAGAAAAGTGGGACGCTAAAAGAGCGCCATTGCCTGATACTTAAATTAATCGAGATTGGGCATTGCCCATAGAGTCATACAAAATCCAAAAGTTGAGGCCCGGGTCACCTCTCTCAATAACATGATAACCTAGACTAAGAGAATGCCCTTTGTTTGCAAGGTAATCGGCTGACTTGTTACCTTCTCGAAAAGTATGAGAGATCTCAATCTCCCAGTCTTGTTGGATGAGTTGCTGCAGTTGAGTCCAAAAACTATGGTACCGCCCTTCGTATGTCGTATGAGAAGTCATTAAGGTGGTTGCAGTCGTGGAGTCGGTCCGTAGTTGAACTTTCCGGTAGCCTAGCTGTCATGCGAGTTTAAGTCCTTGTACCGCCCCCATCAGCTCAGCTCTCGTAATTGTGCAGGCGCCCAGGTTGGATGCAAACGCTCCCAGGCATCTACCTGATCTATCTCGAAGAAGACCCCCCGCTGTTGCCAAGGAATCAGGTCTAGTGAATCACTTGTCAACTTCAAATACATTTGACCAACTAGTGATTTGAAATTCCTCCTAACATAAGATTAGATTTATTTGTAAAATTTTAAATGTTAAGGTACTATAATGTGAGGCAAAACATATAAAGGTACCAAAACAAAATGTTACCACTAAAATTTTTGGACCTTTTTGTAAAAATTTTAAAGTTTAGATATTAAATTATAAGAAAAAATAAATTTGGATATTAAAATGTAAGTTACAAAAATTTGTAATAAGTGTCCAGAAAATTCAAAATTAAGATAAAAGATCTAAAATGTAAAATATCAAAAATGAGTATACAAACAACGGACACTCGAGTATGGTGATCTCATTCTCACCCATTCAACATGACTCATCCAAAGAGTTTGTCGAGTATCCATATGCAAACATACAAAAACCACAAGTAAGCTTTTGGTGTGGGGATAATGAGCCACGACCTGCAACATCTTTCCCTTGCTTGAGGTAGGCATCATACCGAAACACATGATTCATGACTCTGTTGAAAAGGTAAGGGGCATCCGATACCGCCTTGTGAAGGCCATAGTATTGTAGGTTGAATTTGGGATGAAATAATCTTGCATCATGTGCTTGTGGTCGTCTTCCTTGTTACATCTCACTGATTTTTGTGTTGATGAACTGCCGCAAGATGAAGTTGCTTAATGGCGGTGAGAATGGTTTGCATACATGATGAACATTTCTATACGATCACGCTCAAGTTGGCACTCATACTCTCATTTTCTAGCAAATTAAGGGCTTAAGATTTTTAAATTCTCCGGTTCCAATGAAAATCAATTGATAACACCTAAAATATGTGTTATTTGGCCCTTATTTGACAAAAAAGATCGCGACCATGATCTCACGATGGAGGTCGCGATCTTAGAACTTAAAGATTATGTCAAAACGTAATTTTTTTAGAGATTCGATGTCGTTTTAGGCTGGTCACGCCCTCGAGGCTATAATCAGTGCCAGGACACTATAAATACCCATTTTTTTTACACTTAACAAAGAAGAGCCGGCTTTGAGAGAGAAAATAAGGATATTTGGGTAATTTTAGAGAGAGAAATACCTTAGGAGAGGTTATAGGAAGATCCAATCCACCCAATGAGTAAGGAGAAGCTGCGATCGAAAGAGAAGAAGATGGTTACCAACACTCCACCCCCCCCCCCCCCGGGTTTTGTATTTTATTTCTCTCTTTATGACTTGAATCCCTAAGGTTGTTTATGGAAGATGAACCCATAGATCGTGTATGGGTCTTATGTATGAATGATTTTGAGCCTATAATCTATGTCTATTTGATGTTTGTGCACAAAACTCTTGCTTGATTAAGATTGATTTGTTCTTAACCTAGGTGATAGTTCAATCACCTTAGGTCAAGGGTGATCTAGACATCAATTAGTCTAGGATGTTGTGTATCCCATTTGCCTTAGTTGCAACTTAGATAATAGGAAAATTATAATTACTTTACACATGGATTTATGGTGTATTTGAGTTTGACTAGGGTGCTTAAAGCTTCTAATTAGGATTAGATGGTAGAGATGGCAAAAATATCCGTAACCGTGGATATCCGCCCGAATCCGGCCTAGTCGGGTAGGGTAAAACTCGAACCCGAAGGACATTTAGTGGGTACGGGTAAAACCCTAACCCGAATATTGCGGGTAATGGGTGGGCATGGATTTCTTCATTCTAGTGAATTCTTGTCGTACTTTTTCTCTTACTTAATATAAGAATACGCGTGAATGTTAACATATTGGTTGGAGTTATGAAGAGAAATTAATATCCATGGATGACCGTGGATACCCGAAACCCGAACGGGTATGGGCATGATTTTGATTTTCTACCCGTTTCACATGTGGGTATGGGTATGGGTAAAACCCGAAGTACTTTGGGTAGGGTAACGGATATGCACTATCCGCCCCCGACCCGACCCATTGCCATCCCTATTAGATGGGTGTGAATGTCGCTTACCTTGATTAGTCGACCTAGAAGGCTAGCTAGAGATCGAGGTGACCATCCCCTTCTAATTAGAGTCTCGCCTAGTCAAGGGAGAAGGGAGAAAGTTCAAGCAAGAATGAAGAGAAGTTTCATCCCACTCGATCACCAAATGCCAAAACCACGGTGGACTTAGCCATAGAGCGCTTCGGAATAGGGATCGAGTACACAGATACTAGTGCTCCTAACCTTGCTCCGGGTTGCTTCTACATAAGGTTTGAAAGTGAAGCGGAGGACGAACGGCGCAAGATGATGGAAAATCAAGAGGAGCACGATGGTCAACCTAACGAAGATCTTGCTAATGACCACATTCGTACACCTATTGAACCAGAGGAGGAAGTAAAAGAGATGGGAGCGTAAATGAGGTCAATGAGGGTGAAGAGTTGAGCAAAGAGGATGATGAGTAGGGGGTGTTCAAACGGTGTGGTTACCGTGGTAACCGTTTTAACCAATACTATTTGGATAATTTAGTTTGGATAATTGGTTTGGTTTGGTTAAAGATTTTAGCTTGTTTGGTTTGGTTTTAGACACTACTAACCAGCCAAACCAAATTAACCAGATAAATAATTAGTCATATATCTAATATATACACATACTTAATACTTTGAATAACCACTCAAGAGTTAAACGTTCATCCCTTTTAGACTCATAAAATATAAAGCTTGATATTGTTCCTATAATGTATATTTGTATATGTAGAGTGTAGACCACAACATATGAATGCCTAATTTAGATAAATCTCATACGTTATGTTGGATGAAAACTTGAAAGCAAGGTACTTTTCAGCCTATGAAAATTGCTAAAAGACTAAGTCAATTCAAACAAACACAAAAATTCATTAACCCATACCATTGTGATAAATTTTTGTTAGGTGAATCTTTCTATACTAACCGTAAGATAAATATCTTAGTTGCATGTATTTATGTTAAGGGTCAACTATAACTATGTGTTGATTGTTATGTTTTATTCATTATATAAATTGTGAATTGATAAATTAACCGAAATTTTCTCCCTTAATGATAATGCGATTTTATATTGGTTAATCTGGTTAACCAATTAACCAAACCAATTTAAACTTTAATTTGGTTAATTTGGTTGTTGTATTAGTTTGATTATGATATTGTACTCCATGGTTAATGAAATTTAGCCTTATTTGGTTTGGTAATAACCATGGTAACCATTTGAACGCCCCTAATGATGAGGTTGAATACCAAATTGAGGAGGACACCAAGAAAGAAGAGAGAGAGGAGGTTGAAGAAGAGGATGAAGATGAATTGGGGTTCATCAACGCTAACGCTAGTATGCTCGAAGAGGCCATTTACTTTGACCACAAAAGGTCACCCGACCTTGAAGGACTCCTTGCATCGGATCCTTTTTCAACAACTCTTTGGTGAGACGAGGCCATGGTATCATCAATCCCTCTTGGTGGATCTGATAATGACCCTTCGAGGATACTTGATTTGGTTCGAAGTATAGAGATGAAAAAGAGAAGTGAAGTGAGGTTCAATTGGCGGTGTCTCAAACATTCTCTTCTACATGAGCCTTCACCGAATGATTGGAAGACCGATAAAGACTTGAGGCTCAATTTTGTCCAATGAGAACCTCAATCTCAAGGAGGTTTTAAGTTGGACCGAGAACTTAAGGCAAGCATTTGATGATAAGACGTGAAAGATGGGCTAGTTGGGAGGCACCCCAACATCAGTTTGACTTTTCTTCTCATTACCTTAGAATAAAGAACTTACATGACTGAATCTTGTTTTTAGAATTATTTGTAGTGGAGTGATAGTGAATGACCTTAATAGTTAAGAATGAATTTTAATGGAATATGGTGAAGTGATGAATGATGAATTGTTGAAATGTTGTTGTTGTTGAGAAATTGTGCTAGCCTACCAACTAAGCTACTTAGGTCTAGGGAACGGCATGGCTAGTGCAATAGGTGTTTGGATACCTTGGTGGGTTTGAATTTCATGAGTTTATGAAGTTTTAATGTCTCGCATCAAGTGCTCGGTGAACTTTCACTTGTATATCTTTATCAATTGCTTATCAATTGAACTTTATTTATTAAAGATAGACCCTTAGGAGTGTGTTAATGAATTGAGATTGAATCTTTGATGCGTGATATTTGAGTTTGAGACTTCGAATCATTTTTCATTTTTTGCTTTGACATGCTTCTAGAGTCGTGAGTTCAAACTTTGACTTTTCTTCTCATTACCTTTGTGGAGGGCTCTAATCCTAAGTATCACACACGAAGAAACTGAACCCGCCCTCGACAAGAAGAACCACAAATCCAAGAAGAACAACCATAACCTCAAGTCGAGGAGCAACCACAAGAACAACAATACCAACAACTAGAAGTGCCATCTCGAAGGCCGAGAGATCAAGTTCAAAAGGGGATTTCTTGGTTTTGGGAGGACCATTTCTTTATCTTTTTATCGTTTCTATAATTTAAATAATGATATATGTAAGATGTTAGTAGTATGTGTGTTTTTTCTATTTTAGTACTTAGTATAAATTCTACTTATATTAATTAGTACTTGTGTTGTTTAATTTATCTTTTCGTGGATGTGATTGATCTTTTTCTTAGTTATTTTTCTCGTGGATGTTTCTCAGCAATCGATCCCACCTGCCCAACCCTTCCATCCTACCATCAACTCAACATCACCAAATTAGTAACCTCGTTCCCATATCCTTCACTGGTGCTCACATTGAGGAAAATGTGTCCCTTATGTGTGGGGATTGCGCATTAATGCTTATGGAATGCTTGTTATCGATTTATCTTTCTTATGCTA